TATTCGATCAAATTGTTGTTTGGTTTGCTATTGTAGTTCACAAACCTCTATCATGTTGTTGATCGACTTCCTTCATTGAGTCTTCCATTTGTTGCATATTATGATGTTCCTTAGCAACCAATTCCTCTGGCTCTTATCATTGACACCATAGAAAGCATAAGGTTCACCAAACTCCAACTACTTTGATACTAATTTGTCAAGAGCTTTAGTCATATGCTACTGGGCTAATTCTTCCAAGAGAAGATTTTCATAGTCAAAAGGGCTTTTTTTGGTTGGGGGGGGAGAGAGAGAACGAGAGGAGAGGAGAAACGAGTCTAAGTGTGAGAAATTTGAATTTAAAATTTAAAACCTTGTTAATCTTCTTCCCTCCAATTTTACACTATACGTGCTTCTGGGGTACGCTCCACTTGGTTACAACAGAAGAATAACAAAAAAGAGAAAATTCCGAAAATCCCACAAGTACTATATTATAATTTCCTGCTATTGTGTCTATCTTACCATTTTTCCATTTCTTCTTTGATAAACCTTCAGAAATTTCTAACAAAATGAAACTACGAAAAAGTTTTGTGCAACTTTTGCTACCATAACTAGACAAGGTACAAATTATTCAAGCATGCAACCAGTCATGATGTCTCCTTAATAACTACACTTCCACTATCACTTAATACCCTTTCATTCCACTATCACTTAATACCCTTTCATGATGAGACACATCATTTTATGGTTTTAAAGTATAAATATCTCATATTTCATTCTTAAGGAATACTATAACCTGATCATAAGAACAAGAACTCTATTTCTTTGTTGTTCGGAAATAAGCCCTGAAGCATTAAAGTAAATATTGAGAGGACCCAAGTTTCAGCACCTGGCTAACTAGCTCATGAATGCTTCTTTTGCTGAGAATGCGACCACCAGAATCATTACTCTCTGCAATAGCTGATTTACTTAGCGCTGCTGGCTGGAGTGGGTTAGGCTGAGAAATGGCAAGAGATGAAGGCTTTTGACTGGCAGAACCTTGTACTCTCATAACCTGTTGTTGAAGTGGCGAAGTTTGTGGGGTTCTTGACGGTAATTGTTGCCCAAAATGTTCTTGAGGCTGATGCGAAGGAAGATTTTGTTGCGGCTGTGCAGATGACATGTGCTGTTGTTGTGCCTGTGAAGCTGGGGGCAAGGAATGATGTTGCTGAGGAGTATGTGACCTTGGCTGGATTGATGGTGAGTTCATCTGCAGCCTAAGTGATGGTGGTGGCAGAGGAGGTTTTCCTTGTGCTCCAGATGACAACCATGGTTGATTAAGGGACTGCATATTTGGTGCTGAGGAGGCAGGGGAACCTACAGATGAGACTCTCAAAAGGCTGTGGCCTTGGAAATTCTGTGCAGCAGAGAACAATTAGTAAACTAAACAACAAACATCAATTCAAACTGTCACTCATCAAGTACTAGGTGATAAGAATTTTCGTAACCAATTTCCTATAATGCACAATGGCGAGGAGACAGCTAAGAGAAAATTCATCAAGTACTAGACCAATTCAAATGATCACTCAGCCTGCAAAATGACCACATTTTCAAAATGATTTGGCTTCATATTCGTGTTATTCCTAAATCCTAAATCAAGAGCAAAATAACTTGACTAAGCATTTGTTTGTATGACCGGTGCCTATGCTCTAAGCTGGTAAAAGTACTTCATTATTGACTTCAAGTAGAAGCAACTTTAAGGTAAAAAACAGTATAGTATTTCAGCAAAACTTGCTGTAGAAAGTGCTTTCAATATGAAACACGGTATTATAGTTAATTAATTTAGTTGTAAAATTAATAATAAATATCGAAATGATAAAAAGTATATAATAGTAAAAAAAATATTTATTATAATTACCTACATATTATTTTTTCTACAAATTATTCTAATAATTTAAATTATTTAAAAATATTTATTTTAGTTTATTCAATTTATTTATTTCATTCAACATAAATGTTAATTTTAAATTATTATTTCACATTGAAATAATCACTATTTAAATCATTTATAATAGATATAAAGCCGAATTAATGAATTAATATCATATTTTTATTTAAAAATTATTAAAATTATTAATTAACAAAATATGAAGTTAATAAAATATACTCATTCAAATATTATTCACTTCAAAACAGGGGAGGAGGAGATAGAATGTGGA